AAGTTTGCTGGGACTTCAGTTTGGTTGGAAGAATATGGTGTACATTTAATGGTCAGCAGAGTAGTGTTTTCATATACAGGAATCAGATGGGATCCACAAATTTCCTTATTGTATGCACAAGTCTACGATAAGAATTGGACCGAGTTACATGACGTTGATTTGATTATTCCGATTAAAAACCCTACTAATTTACAAAGAGAGTACAAAAGGTACACTTTCCCTAGATTCATGCCAATTCCATTCTATTACAATTCGAATTTAATGACGAAAAGATGGTATGGGCCTGAAGATGCAAGATTATTCTTAATGAAAAATGAATATAATGAGACCGAGCCAGCTTTGATCTTTAATGCATATCACAGAAAACCGGTTAAGAATTCCATTTCCAATGATGACAAATCTGCCAGTATAAATTTTCAAATGTATAGGTCAATGTTCATTGGTTTCTTGTTCCAATTTCAGCTTGGGAAAAGAAATACAGACGGGACAACAGACGAAAGATTTGATCACATACAATATAATAGAGTGGCTGAATTGAGAATCAAATCAAGGGAAAGAAAAGAAATCGAAAAGAACTGGACTCCAATTGTCGATCTTAAAGATTCTGAAAACATAAATTTGATATACGAAGCGGAACATTTAACTATTCTCAAATGTCCATTGAAGACAGTTTACAAGGGGGAAATAACCTGCGACATCAGCTTTAACCAGCTGAGGTTGTTTGGGCGAATGGGTGAAGTCAGAGGGGGAACTGAACTAATTCCAATATTAAACGAGAATGATCCAAATAAGCAAACTTGGATCGGCTTCTTGCGTGCTCATATAAATGATTGTGGGTGTGGGGCATCAATGTACAGGCCAAATTTCATTGTATTAACTAGAATCCTAGACTCATACAAGATCACTCATTTATCAAGTTCCATCTCCTTTGATATACCTGTTACAGGTTCGAAAAATTCAAGTATTGTATGTGATGAAACCGGTCCGAATGTTTTGATACCAAATGGAATTTCTATGTGGGAAGTTGAACCTAAAACTGGTGTTGATTATTTAACATTATCGTTGTCCGTTGCTGACGAGAGTAACAGTGTCTTGCATATAACAGGGATCAGTTCTCTTTTAGATGATATCCAGAAGAGACAAGATGACATCGGTTACTGGTATGATGAAGCTGCAATCAAAGATATGTTCGAATGTGTTTTGCAAACTAGTAAGGATTTTTGCAAATTGTATGGAGAAGAACAAATAAAGTTGGGGAAGAGCGACCAGGTAAATGCTTCGTAGAAGTGATAAGCGGGAGATATCGAACTCCATAGGATAGTTAGGTTATATAAGTATACAACCAGAGATAAAAATAAGACTGGTGGTCCTGCAATCTCACTTTGTTTACTTGTCTCCAAGAAGAGCCACATATGTTGGTGAGATACCTTTTGTCGTATAAATGGATCTTACTAACCTCGTAAAGTTGAGTCAAATAAATGAAATACGAATCTAAAGCGGTGTGGCAGTGGAAGCGCATGTTGAAAGTTGTAGAACAGACCGTGGGTCGAATATGAAATTAATATACTAATAGATATGTGAGACTGAACTAATTACTGAAGAGCTAAGCTGAGTTATTCTTTGATTATTAAATTGATAGTAAATTAAAAGTTGCTTAATTATGATGATGTTAAGTTAATTCTCTCATCTGTTATAAAAACCCAAAACTCAATCCCGTAGGGAAATCCGTGTCCTTAAGTATTAAAAATAATTTAATTAGTTCACACTCCTAATCTTCTATTCCAAAACATCAGGGGGTCGATGACAAACTGAGAACTCACAATTCCAATGTAAAACGAAATACCCGGATTCTTTAATTATTCTAATTGGGTAAAATCGTCTCTCCTCCGACTTTGGAGATCACACTACTTGCTGAAGTGTTTCAGGCTTGAATTAGTTAATAATGATGAACCGTAAACAAGTGCTATTACAAGAACGGAGCCAACTGAATGAACTGATGGGAATGTATGTCGGAAACTTAAATAACCATGATCTAATTTCTCCTTTATTTACCTAAAACGGAATCATACCTCTAACAACATACTTTCCAGCAGCAAAAATATAACTTGTTAATGCACAATCCTGTAAGACTATTGCACACTAAGTTATCTTACTAGTATTGATTCTAATGTGATACTTATCCAATATTATGTAATTATACAGCGCAATCTTAATACAGATAGAGATTGTGTAAAGTCACCAATTGTTTGTCCACTAAATCTAAACATATTATTTAGTTTGGATTTGTGTAATTAATCATGTTCACAATTAAGAACAATTAAAGACCAGTTGTTAAGAATATTCTCTAAGATAATCCATTCATCATTATAGAAACATAGTGTGTTGACACAGTAAAACGAATTTTGAATTCCCCTGGCCTAGTAATATATGATTGGATTATATTTGTAGATCATTCCTTGGGTAGAATATGATCGATAGAGTAGCTTTCAGTTAGTGTATTGGAAACGAGAATTTAATTTCAGAATAATTAATTACAAAATTTGTGGCGCAGTTTGGAGAATGTTTAGCAACGTGTTATAGTAAAAAATTTTTTGACAGTTTGATTGTTTAGAAAATTTCTTTGTAGTTCTTGAACAATAGAATTTAGTTTGTTTTCTTAAAATTAGTCTTCTGATATCATAAGCACGAGTTTCCATGTTCTAATTGTTGCATTGTTGTAGTACAGGTACACACATTTAATAATTTTATGTATTATTTAAGCCTTCATATTAGCAACTACTTTTCGAAGCCTTGCTTGAATAATAAATTATTTTTCAGGTGCCTCTGACGTCTCCTTATAAAATATAATATTTTATTATTTTAAGTCCTCTCTCTCAACGGAGACAACATAGCAATCAAGACCTCACGACAACTGTGCTGATACTTCCCTCTACAAATTTGCAACAGATTTTCTTCTACTTTTTCTTATAAGAATCTTCTCTTTCTTCTCAGAAATTTCTAGTTTACTATGCTCAAGTTTAGTACATTTAGGTTGAGGACTCCACCCTTACGGTTGGGTATATTAACCAGCCTAATTGTATTAGTTATTATTTTCCTGACGATTTTCCACCAAGGAAACGTTTACAACCAGCTTCCTTGGAAGGTTTCTTCTTCAGTTCCACAACTTCAAAATTCAATCATTATTTACCCAGATGGTTCAGATCACGACAACGACAAATTAAAAGAGTTTGCAGCCAACAACAAAACCACAGTTCAATACCACAAACTGTACACCAACCCATTAACTCCTGCAATTATGAACCAACAGTACACATCACACAACTTGACAATCTATAATTCACTAAGTCCTGCTAATGACTTTTGTGAAGAAATAGAAGATAATTCTCAATTTCAAATTTCACAATATCAACGATTGCTGGATAATTTCACTGAAATGGTTAAGGTATTGATTGACCAGTTAGAAAATGATGCATCTTTTAGTGGGTTGCGTGGTTTCTTCCAGGGTAAACTAGCTAATTATATCGATGAGGACTCTTTGCAGAAGCATTTCTTCAAGTTTGCTGGGACTTCAGTTTGGTTGGAAGAATATGGTGTGCATTTAATGGTCAGTAGAGTATTATTTACATATAAAGCAATCAAATGGGATCCACAAATTTCCTTATTGTATGCACAAGTCTACGATAAGAATTGGACCGAGTTACATGACGTTGATTTGATTATTCCGATTAAAAACCCTACTAATTTACAAAGAGAGTACAAAAGGTACACTTTCCCTAGATTCATGCCAATTCCATTCTATTACAATTCGAATTTAATGACGAAAAGATGGTATGGGCCTGAAGATGCAAGATTATTCTTAATGAAAAATGAATATAATGAGACCGAGCCAGCTTTGATCTTTAATGCATATCACAGAAAACCGGTTAAGAATTCCATTTCCAATGATGACAAATCTGCCAGTATAAATTTTCAAATGTATAGGTCAATGTTCATTGGTTTCTTGTTCCAATTTCAGCTTGGGAAAAGAAATACAGACGGGACAACAGACGAAAGATTTGATCACATACAATATAATAGAGTGGCTGAATTGAGAATCAAATCAAGGGAAAGAAAAGAAATCGAAAAGAACTGGACTCCAATTGTAGATCCAAAAGATACCGAAAATATAAATTTGATATATGACTGTGAAAATTTAACGATTCTTAAATGTCCATTGAAGACTGTTTACAAGGGGGAGATAATCTGCGAGATAAGCTTTAAAATACTGAGTTTGTCTGAAAAAGTCGGGAAAATCAGAGGAGGAACAGAGCTTATCCCAATAATAAACCAAAGTGACCCCAGTAAACAATCTTGGATTGGATTCTTGCGGGCTCATATAAATTATTGCGGGTGCGGGAGATCAATGTACAGGCCAAACTTCATTGTATTAACCAGAATCCGAGACTCATATAAGATCACTCATTTATCAAGTTCAATCTCCTTTGATATGCCTGTTACTGGTTGGCGAAATCCAAATATTGTCTGCGATGAAAAGGGCCCGAATGTTTTAATACCAAATGGAATTTCGATGTGGGAAATTGATCCAAAAACAGGTGTTGATTATTTAACATTATCTCTATCCGTTGCTGACGAGAATAATAATGTCTTGCATATAACAGGGATCAGTTCTCTTTTAGATGATATCGAACGCAAATCAGAGGGTACTGAATACTTTGAAGATGAAGATGCGAATCAAAGCATGTTGCAATGCGTGTTGAAAACCAGTAAGGAATTTTGTAAATTGTACGGGGATGAGCAGATGCAGTTGGGGAATATCAATATGGTAGACATTTGAGCTGAGAAATAAAATCGATATAAATTGAATTCTATAGAATAGCTATGAATAAACTAAATACCTCAAATACAGATGGGAAAGCTTGAGGATCGTGTTGGCCGTAAATTCTCCTAATTTTTTATAGCTACTACTTTTTTCAAAATATTGAGCAAACAGGCAAAGCTCTTCGATTACAATGTCTCAAAGTTAGAACTATATGCTCATTTACTACGGTTTATTAATCTGCATTATCATATGCTCGAATACACTAAAGCACTACAATCAACCGTTCTTAAACCCTCATTCCAGACAAACATGATAGTATTCACATTGAACGCGGCTGATCACAGTCATGTAGCGGCTGGAGGGGATAGTGAGAGTTACAAAGTACTGATACTTGACTTACTAATTAAATAGATAAAATCTCAACCGTTTGGTACCTCGTTGAATTGTTAGTCTAGGTAATTACATGCGTTCATATGTTAAGTTTATTTCAATATATACACAACAGTACATTCCTTTACAGAAATACTAAAAAACCTGCCATAGCGACAGGAATCGTTAAGATCAAAATTGTGACTATAGCGGCACCTACCTTATCAGCACCGATTTCAGTAACTTTGTTATGGTTCGCAGTATGGTCTACGCCCGCACCAGCCTCATAATTGGTACGATTCGAGCCTCCGGTTTTAATAGTAAGTGGAGGCTTCACTAATAAAGAGTTTATAACCTCCAAGGCAGAAGTTTGTTCACCCAACCCTTGATATCCATCCCAATGACCTAAACTCCAATCGTGGCTACAAGTAACACCATC